TTTTTCCGGATTATAGATCATCAGTTTATATCTGGTAAGATGGCATGCAGAAATTATACAATGAAAAATATGAAACCGTAATTTAAGAAACAAAGAGCAATTATGATCTAAAGGGTATAAAAATTTACAAAAATAAAATAAAAAAAAAAAGCTTAATATTTCATATTTACCCTGTGATAACTAGACGGGTCATTTTTATGGTTAAAAACAGGAATATCTGTGTTAGTCTCAATGACTGTGAAGTAAAGATAGATTCTTACTAAAGGGTGTTCACAGGGTGATATTCTTTCTCCGTTCCTGTGAAACCTGGCATTCGACTCACTCTTAGTACTTCTACGAGAGGAGCCTGGCATGTCACAGGCTTATGCGAATTACATTATTGTGTTACTACAGGGTTTCAATATTGGAACCCTACACAACAGGGTTGCCACTCCAACACGAGAATGAAATTCCCTGACTTTTCCAGGTTTTCCAGGTATGTTTCGAGAAAATTCCAGTCTATCCGTGTGATGTACATTGGCTGTGCTAAGAGGTATATTAAATATAGTATTACTTGTATTGTGTAGCAAATTCACTTAATTATTCAATAAATCCCAGAGGACATTTATTATTAATTATTCTTGGTACACTTTGTTTACTTTTCCACTTATGAAACTTAATAAAATTTAAGATATATACATTGGATAACAATTGTACGTTTTATTTAATTATTACTCATGATCATCACCAGTTCAATACGAGGCTAATTCGGTTCTTATAAATCACAACACAATGCTAAATAGTTACGTTAGATTTTAGGTAAATTTAATTTGTATGAGGTGATTTCTTAAAAGGCACCTTAACACTTGAAAACACAAATATAATTATAATAGGAGTTGTTTCCTCCACTGAAAATTGAGATTAGAATCTGCCCAATCTGGAATTAAATAAGTCTTTTTTTGCAGACATTCTGCAGCTAAACGAAAGAAAGAAATCTATTTAATGATATTTTTTAATAAATTGAGGTATTTTATATTTATTTCACAGAATACATAAGGAAAAAATATGTGCATTAAATTTCGTGATGGTATGTCATCATACTGCTGGAATTAATTTCAGGATTATGCCAGAGAAAATTTCCTGAAATTTGGAAACATTATTTACTAATGATAAATAAATTCAGAGGGAAGAAGCAACATTAAATGATATGAATAACATAAAAATAAAGATAATTACTTAAAAACTGAATTAGAATAATTAACGATATTTTAGCGAATATATTACATGGTTAGCCTAGATGACTGATTACTATTTTTTATTTTACTGCAAAATGACAAGGTATTTATTAAAAAGAAAGGAAAAAAAAAAAGGTTTAAAAAGATTTTGCGGTAAAATCCTACTATACGGTACGGCCTTCGCACGATTTTGAAAATTGTCGCTGAGAACAAAATGACCCGCTTACTGCTCATGATCATGTCAAGAAATGTTCTTTGACAAAAAAGAAAACTACGAAAATCCGTTTTTAAATTATTGCGAAAAATCCAAGAAGAAACGTTTTATCAAACAAAGTTTTTTCTTGGATTTTTTGCTATAATTTTAAAAACGGATTTTCGTAGTTTTTTTTTTCCCTCAAAATAATTAATCCATGAATTAATTTACTTGCGCCAAAAAATGTTTTCTTTTCCTCTAGAGTTTAAAGAAATTTTAAACGATATTCATTTTAGGAACTCTTGATAACGTGACCTTCGAACTTCGACACCGGTTTCGAACTTTGGCGACAGATATATCGCGCATGCACAGCTGTTTCCCTCTATGATGGAACGGAGCCACCTCTGTTGGAGAGACGTTTTCCTTCTTTACAATACATATTGTTTGATTCTAAACTTCATGGTACCGTATACTAGGATTAAACCCATTTTGTTTTATACGAGAACAAGTACTGTCTTTAGTTCGTGCACTGCACATGCAATTCTCGAGGTTACTGGAAGCCAAAAGTTGCGGGAAACTTGCTTTGCCTTTCTAAAAGACAATCAAATTGGAGCTGCGAAAATTGGCTCTATGCCAGCTGCCTGAATGACACACGGGATACACATTTCGCCAAACAAGTGATCTCTTCCGACGTCGGCGCAAAACCCTCGCCTTTTTTGGCAGGATCGTTGTATGATATTTCCTGACTTTTCCAGATTTTGAACTAAAATATTTAAATTCCCTGACTTTTACCTGAATTTTTGGTCAATTTTCCGAATTCCCTGACATTTTTTCCGGTTTTCCAGGTAGCGTGGCAACCCTTTGACACAATTCAAATGGCTCCAGTCTACAAGAAGACTTTTCCTGAATAAAGTATCACACTGGGGTGAAACAAATGGCCTATCTTTCTCTGCTGAAAAATCAGAGGTCATAATTTTCACGTGGAAATGGAAACTGGCAGATTTATATCTGGGTAACCAGATTATCAGACGTAAGGAATGCGTTAAATACCTAGGATGTTACTTGGACAGTAAACTCACATGGATCACCCATATAAAAAAAAAGGCACAAACAGCCACAAATGTACTACAGTCAAAAGACTTTAATACGGACTTGTCAGGACTTTGGCGGTTCCGGATTATCGGTTTTTCTGGATTACAGATCATCAACTTAAATCTGGTAAGATGGCATGCAGAAATTATAAAATTAAAAATATGAAACCGTAATTTATGAAATAAAGAGCAATTATGATCTAAAGAGTATCAAAATTTACAAAAAAAAAAGCTTAATATTTATTTGTTTACTTTATTAAACATTTCTTTCAATGCACACATGCGTAATTACGAACACATGCGTAAATTACGAATAGTCGAAATTAGAAAATTGGAACCAGAAAACTATTTGATGTGTATTCGTGATATTTATAATGACGAGGAATTTGATTTAAATCATATCAAAGACGGAGTACATTGAGATGAAATACTACATTTAGTAAGGAATTATAAGCCGAGTAAAATAAAAATATCTGCCCTGAAGATAAGGATAGTGTTGACAGATCAACTTCCAGTTCATTGCGTGCCACGACGTACCTTTCCCCGCAGAGCAGCGTGAAATGGATAAACAGATTTTGGAATGGTTAGAGAAACAAAGGATATGCCTTTATCCATTTTTTCACAGCAATTCCACTTTTTGTTTGATGGACATCGAAACATGCTTTCGCTTTGTAGATCCTTTGGCAGCTCCAGAATCGGAAATTCTTTTTGACATAATCGAAAGTTCAAGCTTACTTTTACAAAATTGCTCTAACAGTCTGCAAAAAATAATAAGCCGGATCCAATTAGAAGATTAAATAAGAACGCAATCTGCAACATTAATGGAAATACATAATTAGATAGTTTTAGCTTAGCTTATACCGTCCGTTATACATTAAACGCTCATGCGTAAACGTATTATGTGCATGTGTAAAGGCATATGCGTTTACACATGCACAGAAAGTTTGTAGTTTTGAGGTCTGGATTACAGATCATTCCGGATTATGGAGATCCAGATTAAAGACTTTTGACTGTATATGGCTTTAAGGCTAAAGCCAGAATTTTTAGAATGTAGTGAAACACCAGGCAACATACTCTAGGAATAGCAAATTTGTTAAAATTTAGGACAGGCAGTGGGTAGCAGAATCAAGTAGTGTTGAAAATTTTAGAATTTAGGGAAGCATTGGCAGCAGAGCTTAGGGTCTATAGAGACTGTATTGGGTGACAACTGCCAAACCTTGTGTATGGTGCATATAGACACACAAGATGAATCTTTTAAATTGTCACTTTTCAGTTTCTTTATCAACAAAAAAATTCCTTTCAACAGATGCCTTTCCATGTGACAAGATTAGAATATTTTTGCAATTTTCCATGCTTGTATCTAGTGTAAAGAATTTAAAATAAAAGGAAGAAAAAGTCACAGGGTTAGTCATAGGTGGTCCAAGGACTTATTAATAAGAAATTCCTTTCATTTCACGGACATTTCTGCTATTTGTACCTTATCTGTACATAAAAAATTTTTGAATTAAAAAGGCAATGAGTGTTATAAAAATGACTTGCTAGTTAATTCAAGCAGTTTTAAGTATGCTCAACATTCTTTAATACAATTTAAAAGAATCTGATAACTGAACATAATTTAAACAATTTATTTTTAAAAGGTGATTATCTATCCCCACGTTTGTGCCTTTAACACACTTTTAAGAGAAAGTTCTTCAAATTTGACATTTTAAATGATATATAAAAATGGATATAAAAAAAAAAAAAATTCCCACGGTGAGTAATTTTAATGTAATTCAAATCTGTCTACAATTATTTATACATAACACAACTATTTATACATAACATTGGCACCACAGTGTTACATATAAATAGTTGTGTTATGTATAAATAATTGTAGACAGACACAACAAAAATGTGAAATAATATTTTTTGTTTCTTTCACCTAAATACATTTTATGCATTATTCTTTGATGTGTTACACCCTTCAAAAATGCAGAGATACATATTCTTGGAAATTCAGATGAAAGAATTTTTACTGTATCTTGTTGACACTTATCCTCTGTTCTGATATTCACCACATAGTGAGGCCATATGAATATATACCACAAGTAGCAAGATTTATGTCATTGTTGGTCATTTGCTCTTGTCACTGAATTATTATTGTCGTACTCATGATATTAACGGATACAATATAAATTTGCCCAGCTTCATTCCAGTTTCTATTGAGAATATTCTGAGGATTCTGATCATTCTTTTTAACCATCTGCTAACCCTTTGTAAAGCAATGTCAGACAAGGATTTATAAAGCATTCCAATTTTCAAAGACATAACAATCACTATCTTCCATGCCTTATTCAAGTAGATTTAAACTCGTATGTTAATAAGGTCTGGGGCATGGAAGCCATCTATATGTAAAGGGTGTACAGTAATTTTAACATTAAGTATCAAATTTTTAAATATGCTTTTTTCAAACAAGATTCATGGCAATGATATATTACACAGTGCTATACTCATCATATATACCTTTCTGTATATCTGTTATATTTCTGAATTTCATCATCAAGTGAAACAGGAATCTCCTCTTCTTGCCTAAAAAGTCAAAAATGTTATTCATTAAATACATAATTTTTCTTTCAATATTAAAAATTCTGAAGTCATTCTCTTACTATATATTAATTATGAATTAAAGAATCAATTATTTCTGACTGAATTTTATAAGGTGTTTTCATTTATAAGACAACAAGAATGTTATCAAGTTATTGATTCAAATAAAATTTAAATTTTGCTTCTGTTAATTTTTATGCTTCCTTAAAAATATTTATTGTCAGAAACGTTACATAGAATTTTAATGGAAATATTTTTAAAACAGAAACAACTTTTTGAAGGACATAAAAATTGCATGGAAAATGTTAATCAAATAATTCAAACTGTTCTATAAATTGAAACACTTGAGGAAATTTAGACTTATAAATTTATTGCCCATTTGTCCACAATTAATTAATCATACCTTGATAGATTTTATTTATTTTAACCCTCCGCATATGGCCCGATTTTGATACATTCTGGTCTTGAAATACCACGTGGTTTTTTTATATTTTCTCTATCTTCATATATTACTATTCACATCTTTATAGACAAAATTAATATAATGCAGGAATTTTAATAGTTTTTTTTTATTTTTAAAAAACATAAAATATAGCTCATGTGATTTTAGAATGCATGGAATAAAAATACACAGGATGTTCTTGATTCTGGATAAATAAACCTGCTAGTACAACTCATAATATTACTTGTTACCCACTTATTATTATACAAAATTTTTTCAGTGTGAAAAATTTTGAAACATGGCTCTAAACATAATCCATTTTTACATTCTTCACATGAAATGAGAGTCAATTTAACAACAATCCCAGAAAAGAACATTGGCATGCTGCGAAAAGAATACTTCAATATCTAAAGGGAACCAAAGATCTAGGACTAATTTACACGAAAACAGGAAAACCACTCATCGCCTTTGTGGATGCAATTCGTGCTTCAAATATCGATGATTGAAAATCCCACACGGGTTTTGTATATATACTAAGTGGTTCGGCCATAACCTGGAATCATGGAAACAACACAGTGTAACTATCTTCAACGGAAGCAGCGGAATATATGGCTCTGTCTCAGGCTGCCAAAGAAACCGTCTACCTAAGCCGTTTCCTGCAGGAGCTGGATTACAACACAGAAAATCCAACAACAATATACTGCGGCAATCAAGGAGCTCAAAACGTTATCAAGAACTCAGTGTTTCATTCCTGTACAAAGCACAGACATTCGCCATCATTTTGTGCACAAAGTATATGAATGCGGTGAATTGGATCTGCAGTGAAATGGGATCTTTCGTTAGATACAGAAAGTTTGTGAATTTTGGATGAAATGTACACTGCTTAAAAAAAAAAAAAAAAAAAGGGGG